CAACCAATTATTCTACTTTGAATAAAACTATTTTTTGGAATTTTATTGCGTTTTTTGAAACAGAAACAGAAACAGAAACTTTTTTATTCAATGTAGATTATAACAATACTTATTGAAAGTCACTTTTTTCATTTACCACTGGTTCGCAAAAAAAAAACCTCTGTCCTGGGAATAACCAGCAAGAAACCCAGCGGGACTATTTTTTCCAATAATAGTATGTTTACAATTAATACACAAGACAAATTAGAAATAGCTTGGTAGCGATCACCCTTCCCAGGGGTTATTATCATCCATAAATTCCTTAATATTATAATAACCCTTTTTATACAAACTTAGTTTAATAATATTTTTGAACTTTGTGTATGACAAATTTTGTATATTTTCTGGGATTTTGTTGTAAAAGCGTATACATCGCCCCAAGAATGAATTACTGACTCGGTGGAGTCGAGTAACTGGTACTACTAGTAGTAGCTTGTGTCTGCTCCTAGTATTTACAGAATGAATATCACTTATTTTCGCAAAACTACTTTTATTTTTGTGTACGTACATTACATTTTCATAAATGTATTGAGAGGCCAGAGTTAATATATTAATTTCCTTAAATTTTTGTCTCAGTGACTCTTTTGGTTTTAAATTATATATTGCTCTAATGGTCCTCTTCTGTAAAATTTGATTTGACTTATTTTACCGTCAAAGCCTGTTAAAGTCCACCGTCGTGTAGTGGCGGTTGAGAATATCCACTACCCCATATCTTCCCGTGGGTGTCGTAAGAGGCGACAGAGGGAGACAGGCAGGAGATGGGCAGCAGCATCTTCCTGATAACAGCAATAATATTTTAAAAAACTGCGGTTGCCAACCCGCTCGCCAAGCGTGGCAACTATGGCAAATATCCCCCCATGAGCAACGACGCAAATAAACGGCCCCCAGTCCCCGGCGGCCCCGCTATTCCTGGCTACGGTGGCGACCATGGTAACGGCGGGGCAGGGGGTGCTAAGAATCTCCGGTGGAGGTTCAGTTGCCACCTACGACGACTCGACCTGGCAACATATAACGCACGCACCCTGAGGACTGACGAGAAGATACTGGAGTTGGAAGAAGAGGTAGACAAGTTGCGCTGGCATATTATTGGGTTATCCGAGGTCCGAAGAGAGGGGGAGGACACGGTAATCCTCGAGTCCGGCAACTTGTTCTATCACCGGGAAGGCGACCATCTGTCCCAAGGAGGTGTCGGATTTATCGTCCACAAGTCTCTCGTCAACAACGTTGTAAAGATTGGGAGTGTGTCGACGAGGGTCGCGTACCTGATACTCACAATCACCAAACGGTATTCGCTGAAGGTCATACAGGCTTACGCACCAACCTCGGCACATCCCGATGAGGAGGTGGAGGAAATGTATGAGGATATTTCCAGAGCCATGCATTCCTCCAAAACCCACTACACGGTGTTGATGGGAGACTTCAACGCAAAACTAGGCACAAGAGAAGCCGGTGAGCTGAAGGTAGGGAAATTTGGAGTAGGGCAACGGAACCGTAGGGGCCAGCAGCTGGCCGACTTTATGGAGAAAGAGGGACTCTTTATGATGAACTCTTTCTTCCAGAAGCGGCCCCACAGGAAGTGGACCTGGTCGAGCCCCGACGGTTCGACAAAAAATGAGATTGACTTCATTATGACGACCAGACGCCAACTGTTCAGTGATGTCTCAGTGATCGCAAGGGTGAAAACTGGCAGCGATCACCGAATGGTTAGAGGCACACTGAACCTAAACGTTAAGTTGGAGAGGTCTCGTCTAATGAAGTCAACGCTCCGTCCCCCTCGTGCTCTAATCCAGAATCCCGAAACTTTTCAGCTCGAGTTACGTAACCGCTTTCAGTGCCTAGAAGATTGCAATGCAGTGGACGTTATGAATGACAAGCTCGTGGAAACTGTCCATGCGGTCGGAGCTAAGTTCTGCAAGACCGGCCGCAGAAGAACACAAAAGCTCTCCGATCACACTCTTAATCTCATGGCTGTTAGACGGGAGATGAGGCTGCAATCGTCAACAGATTTGACAGCATACAGGCAACTGAACAGACAGATCTCCAAATGCATGCGGCGAGACTTACGCAAATTTAATACTGCTCGTATTGAAGAAGCGATTGAGCGGAACCAGGGCTCCAAAGTCTTTGTCAGAGATCTGTCTGCCAGTAAGAGCCAACTGTCAAAGCTGAAGACTGAGTGTGGCAGCATCGTTTCCGGGACACCTGAGATTCTGAGTGAGATTGGAAGGTTCTATGGGCAGCTGTACACATCATCGTTGGAGCCACACGCAAGTGTGAGTAACGATCCAAGAGCGGGTCTTATCCGACACTATTCCGATGATATCCCGGACGTCAGTCTGAGCGAGATTAGAATGGCTCTCCAGCACCTTAAAAACAGCAAGTCCCCGGGCGAGGATGGAATTACAGCGGAGCTTCTTTTGATTGATGCAGGTGGCTCCGGAATGTGCTTTGTGGCATTCCTTTCCTTTGGGGGAGGCCTATGTTCAGCTGTGGACTTGGGAAGGGCTGTAATGATGACGATGATTATGAGGCTCATATATCGGACTTCGATACTTCTATACAATGTGTCTTATTGACACCGGCTACTGAATCTGTTATGTGGAATTATTTCATTCCATTTATTTTTGTTTTTATTACCACCTTTTTATTAATTTGTTTTCGTGTGTTTGTTCGGGTCAAATTCAGTAATTGAGTTAGAACTAACTTCCCGAATAGCTAGAGACTTGAAGTTTTAACATAGCTCAGATAGATGACAGTGTAAGTTATAAATAGTTTTTAAAAAATTCATTTGTTTGAATGTGTAAAAAGTGAACGGAAAGGTTGGTATAGTTGCAAGTTAATCATATATTGCTTAAGAAATTACAAATAAGTACCACAAAGACATTTAAATATTAAGGAAAGGTAGTGTACTTTGGCTTTGTTTTTGGTTGTATAAAGTTAGATAACTTATAACAATTTTCCCAATGGCAGTTACCGATTACCGACCAAAGTAAATTATATGGGTAACCGTTATTAGTTTGAAAAAACAATAAACAAATAAAAATAAAATAATTCGTGAGTAATACAAGATATTAATGTTTTTAGCCATCAAAACGCGGTAGAACCACGCTATATTATGGTTGTAGCACGAATGGGTCGGCTCGATCGGAGAAGGACCACGCTCTCACAGAATACCAGCGTAAAAGATCAGCTTAATACTGCTGTATTTCGTATGGTGAGTGTAGAGACCCTTTTTTACTGAAAACGAGGCATTCAATCTTAGTCCTCAGGGGTGACAACGCATCTGCGTTTTGATTCTCAATCGAGGATAAATGTAGATTTCTACGGGCCTCGGCATCCATTTACCATCATGTGGACTGTGTGCTAGTTTGTAATCCTTATTCTGTATAAAAAAAATTGCTTGCCTTGGCCCGTAAAAAAATAAAAATAAAGTTAAAACAAAACAATAGGTGCACCAACACTATCTTAATGAACAGATTATAAATGGAAGTATTGGTAAGTATAAATGTCGGTTTATCCACCATCAAATACAATACTCCTGGGCAGATTGGGAAACCAACAACCTAGTAAATGCCAAATAGTTATTTAGTTTACATTAGTCTATGTACAATTTTATATTAATAACGCCTGCACAGTAAATCTCTAGTTGGGGGTAACATTTTATAACATTGTAACATTTTATACATTCTAGGATTGTAACATTTAACGCACTGTAACATTTTATCATTAATATCTTTTTTAAATTCAACCTTTCAAACATCTTTAGTTAAAACAATACGGGATTAGAGCTTTGCTAAACGTCAATAGTAACGACTCCACGTTCTAAGTTTTAACCGTTCAGCATAGCCCGAGTGGATTATAGTGCTCGAGTCTATGCACCTATTCCTACACCTATCTATATTCCTTTACTTCCCTACTTCTAGTTTGATTGGTCGATAATACAACACAACCGTTAAAAGTTCAGTCGCAGCATTAATTAAGGCTTTACGTGCTTTCCAAGTCACGGGGGTGAAACATCGCCAACACCCTGATTCCCGACTGATACCTTCTACCAGGTAGTATCTACAGATACTTTAGGCTTACGACAGAGTGGTCTGGAATGTGTTACGTCAAACACTGAACTCATTTGGGTCGAGCGCTGGGTTGATACAGTCATTAAAGTCTTTATAGGGACTCTAGTGCATGTGTTAGGATCAACGGGGTCTACTCGGACCGGCTTGGCATCCATAAAGGTGTCAAACAGGGCTGTGTGGCTTCCCCGTGGCTGTTCAATCTATATATGTACAGTTGCTTGGAAAATTTTAAAGTTGAAGAATGCGGATTAAGAATAGGTGAGTTAACCGTCAAAAGCCCTTTGTACGCCGATGATCAAGTAATTTTTGGGTCGTCGGCGGCCGAGTTGCAAATGATGATAACATTAATGAACAGATCATTAAAAGAAAGGGGTATGAAAGTGAACGCAAGTAAGACGAAATTTATGGTTTTTGAAAGAGAAGAAAGTAAAACGATATGTGAAATTAGAATAGAAAAGGGAGTTGATAGAGCAAGTAGATGAATTTGTATATTTGTGATGCGTATTTAGTAAGGATGGGAGATATGATAAGGATACAGAACGACGAGTGAACGCAGGAAATAAAGTAAATGGGCCTTACACTCTATTGTGAGAAACCAGAATGTGTCAAAAATGGCACGTATGGCAATTCACAATGCTGTGTTGGTCCCTACATTAACGTATGGTAGTGAGAGTTGGGTGTGGCAGAAGAAGCACGAGAGTGGAACAAATGCAGTAAAAACGCGGTCGTTAACCCTTAAACCCTACCCATTCTAGGAGAAACACTATTGCTACCCAGGGGTTTTAAGGACCCCACTATATAAATATTCATACTTAAAAATTAAAAACAATTTAATTACAATTATTATTTATTATAATAATCTGCTTATTAGACAATACAAAAAAATTGTTAATGGTTTTTGGTAACACATTCTTGGCACATGGCCTCAGTATGTTCACCGCAAAGAGGTTTTTGGCACATGCCACAGGTGACCTTGGTTTTTCGATCCTTACCCCTTGGGCACATTGCACATCTTTTTTTAGCAGTGGGATCAGAACTTGGTTCTTGCAATGGCCGCTTCTTTTGCAAGATTCCACCTAAGAGAACTTGAAGATTCATGGGCAAAGAGCGCCATGTTAATCGTTCTTCCATTTGAGGGGTGATCAGATCTATGGCAAGTTTTTTCAAGAAATGACGTCTTTTTGTAACTCTTTTTTATGGCCATTTTTAGCAGGATATATGAATTAACACCTACTATATTCAGAAGGCCAAAAAAAATTGCCATTGGCCACCTTTTTGATCTCCTAGATACGCTGTACTTGTGGCATAGCTGATCCATCAAATCGACTCCGCATTTAGTCTTATTATAAAACTCTATCATCTCTGGTACTTGAATCGTTGCATCAGGATCTGCTGTTGCATGCATAGTTGACAACATGGGGACAATTTTTTTTTTGTTTGGATTTTGGGGGGCAGTAATACAAAAGCGTAAGTTCTCCTGTAAAGGCAAACTTTGCCGTGTTGCGATCGCGATCTTTTAGCTCAAGAAAAGAAGGTGGAATTTCTCTCTTGTTTCTACCTAGTGTACCTACAAGGGTCACCTGCTTTTGCAACAATTCTTTTGCTGCCGGTATTGACGTGAACCAATTATCACAAGTGAGGTTGCGGTTTGTGCCATGAATTGTTTCAGTCAATTTCAAAGTAAAGAAATGAGCAGCTGCTACATTTGTAGGGCACGAGCCTTTGCCCAAATATACAAAAGCATCTAACATATAGGCAGTTTTAGCATCGCAAGTCATCAAAATTTTTATACCATATTTATCTGGTTTACTCGGAATGTACATTTTGAAGATACATCTACCTCTAAAGCCCAATAACATTTCGTCTAATGTACAGCAATCTGAAGGGCTATATACTTCACTCGAAACTTTGACAATGTGATCAAAAATGTTTCTAATTGGTGCTAATCATCATTTTGCTGGCGTTCTTCTCTGGTAGACCGGTCGTCAAAACGCAGACAGTTTGTCAGAAACTCAAATCTGGCTTGGCTCATGGTGGCACGAAAATAGCCAACACCTGAGTTCTTGTCAAACAATTCCTTGGTGGTGACGTGATTCATGTTGAGTACCCCTGCTAAGTAGTAAAGTCCAAATAAAGCCTTCATTTCCACCACACTTGCATCCTTAGCAAAAGAAGGACGTATTTTTGTGGAACTCGATGCGTCCGCGTTTTCGTCTTCCGTATTCTGTACAGGTCTGTCTCGTTTATATTTTTCTCTCTGTTTACCAATGTCAGCATTTGTATTTCTTACAATTTCTTCAAGCTTTTCATCAGAAAAAAAAATTCTCCATGCTTCCAGCTCTGTTTTTATTTCACGAGCTGCAGCTTTAGGTCCAGGAGGATGAAACAAAATATTTCTTCGTGGGACTCTAGACTTTGCTGGTTTTTTCACCTGTCCACCTAAACCCGTCCTTGCCCTTCATATTATTAGGGACAGGTAAGACACGTAGAAAATTACCTGAACTGTAATTACTCAGAGGAGTGTCATCTACCGATGAAGAATTTTCTGTATCATCATCTGGATGTTCTGCTCGAAAGTCTTCAATAATTCCGTCTTCGTCAACATCATTTTCAAGGTCAGGAACAGCGACTTCACATGCCTCTTCGTCTTCTGATTGGTCTTCATGCAACCACTGAGTGATCTGTAGGTCCATCTTACGCAATTTTGATCGTTAAAACTATAACAATGACATAAAACACAATATTGAATAAACTGTTAAAACGAAACAACAAAATTGCTAGATTTGTTCATATACGTTCCTAAAGAAAAAAACACTATTGTTATTGTAATAAATACATCAAATGTTAAACTTACCCTTTAAAATATTGTATCAAAAATAACTGCATTCACCAATGTATCGACAAAAAGAAATGACAAAATACTACGTTATTACTACCCTGGGGTCTGACAGACCCATAAATAGCTATAATTCCGTCTAAACTGTGTAAGCGTTGACGCTAGACTAGTGAAAAGATGGCCGACGACGTAATTAAAGATTAGCTCGAGTGGCACAATAGTGCGTTTCGTTATTGCAAAAATATCTACAAATATTCAACCTCTGGGGTTTGCTGGACCCCCGGGTAGGGTTTAAGGGTTAAGGAGTATGTTAGGGCTGAATCTGAGTGACAGGATGAGGAATTGTATGATAAGAGAAGGGTGTGGTTTGCAAGATGATGTTGTGACCAGGATTAAGAAAGGAATGCTTCGGTGGTTTGGTCATGTGCAAAGAATGAATGAGGAAAGAGTGATAAAGCAAATTTATGTAGTAAAAGTGAACGGCAGGGTCGGAAAGGGACGTCCTAGGCCAGGGGTCGGCGACCTGCGGCTCGCGAGCCACATGCGGCTATTTGGATGTGAAGCTGCGGCTAGTCCCATACGCAAATATGCATTATTTTATTTAAAAAAATATTTAAGAATCGTTCTGAATCGATTAACGAGTATTAGGCACCATTTCTATCTCTCCGGTACTTGTACTCGCTTTTCACCGCACCCACATGTGATCGATATATTATATATTGTTAGGTAGTAATAATAGAAAGACTTTAAAATAATCAAATAAATGATTACATGCGAACTAAGTTACAGAAACACAGCTAGAGCATCGTGATAAATATATGATATGCAACCAAATTTAAAATACTAACGCTGTTAAAGAAATTATTTAGGGGATTTTTTATTTTTATACAAGCGCAACTATTAATAAATTAATTCTACATTTCAATAGCACACTGGCCGTGTTTGAGCGCGATGCTACTTTCAGGTACAAAAAGTACTCTGTGGATGCTACAGAGCCTCGAGGACGAATCCCGCACGGATCCGATCTTTGGATGTTTATGAGTACATGTACAATTAATGTGTTAAAACCCTTTCAATATACAGGAGAAAATCTTGGTATAGAGTTTGGTTTAAAAAAAATCAAAAATATATAAAAATGAATTTAATATATTTTTTTAGTGTGTATTTAGCAAAGCCGATGTCAAAATTTAAGCACTGAAGTAATCTTGGAAAACTTTTTGATATTTGCCTTGAGGGTCGTATAAAGCTTTAAGTTCTTGCCACAGTTCAGGATGCGTCTTCTTCACTTGCTGAGCCAACACCTTTCCCATTTGCTTTTGTTTATCGGTACATTTAGCGCAATGAGTTTCGAGTGCCTCCGGTAGCTTTTCTGTAGAAAAAAATCAAACGATATAATTCTGCTGTTTATTTTAGTAAAAGTCGTAATTGGATCATTCGTACTATGTTTAATTAAATAAAAGGCAATGTCGCTAAAATTTTGTAGCTTCTGAGGAGTAACCGAAGAAAGGTCTTAATTATGCTTGCCTATATGCGTCCCCTTCTGGGCACAAACCTTTCAGGCGCTCATTTCTGAGAGGGTATAGTTATGTGCGGACTTCACGTTTCTTACCAGGGCTTAGTACAAGGAAGTATTCGCCGCGCTACGCCATAGCATGTTGGTGTACTTCACAGGTTCTCGAAATAGAGGTATTATTGCGAGCAAGCAGATTTCCTCACGGTAATTTCCTTCTCTACCGGGCAACATTAATTGCGATAGAAAATTTCAATATACCATTAAATCGAACTCGGCTTGTACTATTAAATTATGGTTAGCGCATATACTTTAAGGAATCACAGGTTTTCTCACAGTATAATATGCAGACCTTAAAAGTAATACATTTTTATTGTACCTACAAAGATTTACTCTGTGAACCTATAACCAACCTGGAACTATTTTGAGGGTAGATATCTCTTAACAAAACCCTTTACAGTAAAGGTGCATGTTTGAGCAAAATGCCGCGCTACTCGTTATTTGTGAGGTTTTTAGGAGCTATCTACTTGTTATTAAAAAGATATATACACTAATAAAAAATCTATTAAATTTCTACATAATTTTGATTCTATAATAGTCAATTCCTTATTTTTAAAAATGAGTAAATACTTGATGGATCTTACTACAACTAGACAACAGAAATGCGAAATAATTATTGATAACATGCATCTCCTCATAAAGTAAGCGTTATTTTATTTTGCTATTGACACTAATGGATAGGTAATTTATTAATGAACTTTTTGATGTATTTAATTTTTTCAATGGACTAAAATTCGATTTTATAAAGAAAATATTCTTAAATTTGGTCGTTAGATTTATAAAAAATTCACTCTTTTGAAAATATAACGGTCGATATTCTATTTTCAACTTCGGTAGCACAATAAGCATTTTGTCACCAGTAATAATTCTTTTTTTGCTATCTATCCACTTCCCTATTCTTACACATTTTTGTTCATTTAAATATGTAAAAGAAATAAAAATCAAGACCTTAAATTAACTAGAATCATAAAAATATATCTCTAAGCCTGCTGGGACAGTATCTAACTAAGCATTACCACAGAATAAATAATAGGACTACGTAGCACATTGCGACATTGCGGGATATTCTATATCAGGTCACAGCGCCCCTTTAGTATCTACTGCCCCATATAACTTCATGAATATCGTAAGAAACCTGAGTCAGGAACTGAGAAACTGAGTCAGGAAATGGAGAGAAACATCTTCCTGATTACAACTCAGAATAACAAAAAAGAATCAGATCACAAATCGTAAATAAGAAAAATTTATTTATTTAAATCTGTATTGTTTTTAAAAAAGGTATGAAGGATGCAATGACAATATGGGACACCGAGATTTTAAAGAAGTGCCGTAATGCAAGAAAAGTTAACAAAAATTCTTAACATAAATACAATAAGGTTAACTAAAACATTTTCAATTACGATTAATATAGTTCATATTTAACATACCTTTGATTTTTTTCACTTCTGGAGTGCACGGTCCTTTGTTCAACAAACATTTTATATAAGACATCAGTAATCGATCATTTTTCAATAATTCTGTTATGTCAAAATTATTTTCCACTTCCTCATATTTTTCCTCAGCAAGGACTAACGCAACTAAACACAGAGTCAGCACAACCAACTTCATCTTGACACACTCGATGCTCCGTGCTCGTTCTCACGCAAAGATCGATCAAGTGTGATATGATTAGTTCTAAATCGAACCTATTTTATATGTAGATTAGGTATCACGCTGACGGTGATTTCTCGGAAAGTAAATGTAAACATGTAGTTATTACACGTACCTTGGCATCAAAGATCACGACCATATACCTATTTGTACGAATTGCATTACCATGGTATGGAAAAATAATGTTACAAATAAATCAACCAATCATTTTAATCATCTGGATACTTTAATTAAGAGTTATAAATAAACTTAACATTATTTACAATAAATATCGACTGACGAATACAGTTATTATAAATTATAAATGCTATTTCGCCTTCATGTAGTCATAGCGGTTCTACTATTTTCATTCTAATATTTTAAAAAAACTAATTTCCAGTTACTAAGAAAGTATATAAGGCTTCTCTATTTAATCGGCTAGGATCATATTTATCGAGAAGCTCGAAGAATCGCGGTTCACTCTTTGCTCTAATTCCAAGTAATAACTTGCGAACTACATCCTTCTGTTTAGGTGAGCATCTTCCGCATGCCGTTGATATCGTTTCTGGTAATACACCTGAAATTAAAAAGTAAAGTTACGTTTTTTTACTTACATAAATTAAAATATTCTGCTTATAATTTTAGATGTCTCATTAGGCGCAAATTTGGTATTGTTACTTAAAAATATTATGAAAATTATTTAAATAATTGTGTAAAATAAGTCGGAAAATAGCACACAGTATCTTTGTGTTCGAATTATCTTTGTGTTGATGATTTTTTGCAGAATACAGAACGACTTGCAAAAGTCAACCTTAGTTTAGAATCTCACAATTGAATTCTAAACTCTAGATTGGAAATATTTGAATGACTTTTTAGTCCATCAATTCCTACAGTACCGGGATGACCGAGCTTTACTCGGTACTTTTTTTGGAAATTAAATTTAGATACAAATTACATGCTGATGATACATAAATAATATTTTTTGATTTTATTGACATAAGTAATAGAAAGAACTGAACTGACTATTTGAATAAAAAATCATGAGTGCAATTAGCTTAATTTAAATTTTCATATTTTTAAAAAATACTAAAAAAAGGGCTCGAAATAATAGATTTTCTCACAAAAGAAGGGAACTTGAAAAAAAAAGGAAAAAAATTCGGATCGAAGACAGGACGCGAAGCAGGGCACTGCGATTACGCAACCACCCGATATCCCATTTCAGCTATTACGATCATTAATACGCCTTATATAAATTTACCTTCTTATATTGTAGCAGTGCACTGCCTGAAAACACGGACAGATGGACATTTTCTAAAAATGAATCCTAGCTAGATCGATTTATTACCCCCCGAAATCCCCTGGACATCAAATTTTACGAAAATCGTTGGAACCGTTTCCGAGATTATATATATATATATATATATATATATATATATATATATATATATATATATAAATCTCGGAAACGGTTCACCGATTTTCGTAATATATATACAACATGTAACAAAAACCTGTGGTTCCCGTTAAGTGGTTATCAGAAAGTACAAGTGTATAGAAATATGTTTTTCAAAAAAAAAAAACACATTTAAAAATTAATTTTTATTAAAAAAATAATTTGCAAATTGTATGTGGTTTTATTATTTCTGCATTGGCCGAGGAGCAAGAGGATTGTCAAAGACCTGCGGGGTCCTTGACAATCCTGATACTTATCGATACTCGCATGAGTTAGAAGAAATAAAATCACATACAATTTTTTAATTAAATTAAAAAAATTACTGGTCGAGTTTTCTGGAAAAAAATTATTTCTATACGCTTGAATACTGATTCTGATAACGCGGTTAACGGGAACCACAGGGTTTTTGTTACATGTTGTATAAATATATAGTTAAGTTAAGAGTTAGTCATTAAGTATCGTCCAGATGAATGCTTACAATCATATTATAAACATCATGAAATTTTAAACATTAGTACTATGTGGAATTTTAATCGCACTACGCTGAATGTGTGATGTGTAAACCCTTATGTGTTTTATAGCTGATTAGCGATGTGGGATATGTTAATGGGATTCAACCACAGATTACCTCCTAAGGTAATCTGTGGATTCAACGTAATATTATATATATATATATATATATATATATATATATATATATATATATATATTTACGAAAATCATTGGAGCTGTTTCCGAGATTATATATATATATATATATATATATATATTAGAGGTGGGCCGAATATTCGTTTTATATTCGGTATTCATAAACAGAAAGTTTGATAAAATTTTGTTTGGAATCAAACAAAGAAAAAGATTACAGTCGTCACTTTCTCTAAATTTGGTCTAAATAGTAGATCTCCTGCCACTCATTTTCATCATATACTTTTATCAATTTTCAGTACGAATAACACAACGAAATAATTTTTTTCTTATAAAAATTGTCAAAACATAAGCATGTGCCGGCAATTTGCTCAGTACTAGATGATGTAATAACATGTGAGGTGTGGCGGGGGAGCAAGGGGAAGGCTCCGGCGCTAATCCCGCGCGCTTTATGGTAACAAGTTTCGACATAAATTGGTTAGGTACCGAGGTAATCCTGCCGAATAATGTTCGGCCGAATATTCGGTTGGCAGACATCCTCGCTATCGCACTTTTTTGCAGAATACAGAACGATAAACATATACATCCATTTGATTCCGGGAAGGACCAAATTTCGTTTGCGGACATTTTAAAATGACCACTAATACACTATAGAACAATAACTGCCCGTAATAAATCCTTGGGTTGACGTCCCATCGGACTTTAGAGTGAGGAAAAACAGATTGTTTTGTTTCACCATTCTATACGCCAAATAGCTTGCACATTTAAAATATTATTAAACTAATTGCTCATATATCTATACTATAATCCGTGGTCGGAAAGTCAAAATAAAAATATATAAGAAAAGATCCAACTCATATTTCGTATGATATTTATTTAAAAGGCTTAGGCTTAGGTTCTCAGCGAGTTTTATTGCACGCGTATTACCAATAAGGAAAAACCTTAACCTTCATAACTGACATTACTATTCATAGTATTATATTATTTTTTTATTATCTTGTAGCGTATGACATTTATAGCAAATAAAATTGTAATTATATTGGAGACTGTAAAAAAATCGCGTATATTCGTAAGATTTGATTATTCTTGCATGTGTAAACACCTCATACTATCATCATTAGTGTTTAGCACAAAGCCTAACGAAAAACGTTATCTTTTATGACACTGTATTTAATTTTCTGTAGAATACTGTGTAATAATTCCATCGAGAGTATTTTCAATCGACTTCAATAAAGGAGGAGGTTCTTAATTCGACGGATTTTTTTTGTGTGTATTACCTTAGAACTTTTTTACTAGGTGAACCGATTTTGATGATGGTCTTACGTTTTATAAATTAGTCTCAATATTGTTAATAATTAAGGGAAGAGCGAGATAACCCCAACACAAGTATTAATAATTACTTACTGGGGATATCTTGTTTATAATACATTTAACTGTTTTGAGGCAAATAAAAAATTTTCATTTTCATTTCAGTTTTTTTTTTTTTTGAAAGCAGTTACTTCTCATATGGTCTCATATAAATTATACTAAGATCTGACCAGTAGTTTTCGAGTTATTCCTAATAATACGTATTTAGTTGACTTCGACTACATTGATGATGTTTTCATTTGATGTATATTGAAGTCGGTTGTACAAAATTTTAATTTTAAAACATGTTTTTATGGTAAATTATTTGCAAACTTACGTTTAAAGTTCTTGCCGTCCTTTGTGCAAGGTCCCTTTTCCATTACACATTTGTAATAGGCGAGTAAGATCCTTTCGTTCTGTATAATGGAGTCCGCGTTGAAGTTGTCATAGCGGTTAATGAACTGTTGCTGCGCAGAGCATGACACCACCACCGTCAGCGCGAACACGCAAAGTAACCAAAATCTCATTTTTCTAAAAAAAAAAGTGAGTGATATTATACGAAGTAATTTAAAAAATAAAATTTCGTTAAAGTTTAAGAAGCAATAATTTTGAATTTAAATATAATTAAAAAGCATCATCAAATATGAGTTATTTTTGATGCTGCAATAACGTCTTTTAGTATAAAGTTAAATAAACTTATTTCATATTTATTTAACTTTGTTGACAGGGCTTCCCCTTTCAATTAAACATTGTCCCTATAAAGTTCAGCAATCCATATACAAACTTAATACTAAGTTTTATAATATCATAAATATATTATTATTACATCCTTAAACTTTGACGTTATTTATTCATCATTACAGCCTATAACAAGTTCACTGGGAATGCAACGCCACAAAGCACAGTCCTGAGCCATCGGCATCTTTTGACTTCCTGGAGTCGGGTGGGCAGCAGTCCTCCTATTTACATTCAGAAAATTAAAAAAAAACTGCGGTTGCCCGCCCGCCAATCGTGGCAACTGTGGCATCGATAGAAAGATGTAATTTATTATCTGTATATTTCACAAACAATATTATGAAATAGAATAATGTAACAGATATATAATATAAATAATATACTGTATTACACCTTAAAAACGAATAGAATTTATATTCATACTAACAGTAACATAGATTTCGGCCATTGCCATGACGGCGCTGTGTACTTTCACAGTTAATACAGTGTTACTTTCTAAACGGCGTAAAAGCGTAAGGCACTAGTTAAAAATAACAAGCAGTGGTACTCACTTGGAAGAAAGTACGATGCAAGTCCTCCGGGTTTGACGGTCAAAGTCGATATGGTTGTTTCTCCGCTCCTAACACTGGGGTGCAAACACATTTCTCTAAAACCAGTCCTCGATGGACGAAGAGGTCGATGTAACGGACCGCATACAAAACGTACCATGCCCAGAATTAAAAAAAAAGTATGTCAATGATCGATTTAATTTTACCCGCGAGAAAGCGAATTGGGATCACAGCCATAGATAAAAAATTTA